TGGGCCCGGCATGGCCAGGTGGTTAGGGCGCTCGACTCGCAATCTGAGGGTCGCGGGTTCGAATCCTCGTCACACCAAACATGCTCGCCCCTTTTAGCCGTGGGGACGTTATAATGTGACGGTCAATCCCACTATTCGTTGGTAAAAGAGTAGCCCAAGAGTTGGCGGTGGGTGGTGATGACTAGCTGCCTTCCCTCTAGTCTTACACTGCTAAATTAGGGACGTCTAGCGCAGATAGCCCTCGTGTAGCTTTGCGCGAAATTCAAAACAAACAAACAGTCACACGTCTGACAAAGTTTGGCTGGGCTCGGGCATTACAAAATTTAGTACTACACTACTGTGCTTTAGGTCAATCCTGAAACAGAGGGTTATAAAAGTGTGATATGCAGGCATATTTTTCATTTTCTACGAGGCTGAAGTTGGCATCTTATTTACAGCTTCTTATTCGCGCAGTCTCTTATTTGTGCAGCATCATATTCACGCAGCATCTTATTCACATCTGTTTAGTCAACACTAACCTAAGAATTTAAAGAGTTGAATTACTTTGGGACACTTTTTTCTCTGCATATTATATTGAAGGGGGATATAACTATAAACTCGATTTCTTGCTACCACAGGGTACTGAATTGATGGATCTTCACCAAATTTGGTATGTAGGTTCACTAATTCGTTGGGAAGTTACATATGAAGTTTCACCATTCTACGCTTCGTTTTGCGTTTTCTACCAGTACTTCGTCCCCTTTATATCTTCAAATTTTTAAAAGAGGTAAGAGATGGCGCATGTGTCAACTCTTTTCCAAAAGCTATATATTTATTGTGAAATTTAAGAGGTGAAATTACTTTGGGCCAGTTCTTTCTCTGCGCATTTTTTAAGGGCCACATCTCCTGTACATAAATCAATGTCATTTAGCCTGGCCAAAAGTGAGTGTCATAAGTAAAACAAAAGAGGGCAAAGATGGTACATATACCAACTTCCTTCTAAAAACTATATACTTATTGTGAAATTTATGGGATTTAATTATTTTGGGCCACTCCTTTCTCTGCATATTCTTGAAGGGGTCATCACGTGTGCAAAAATCAATACTGTTACGACAGCGGAAGTCACGTGACGCTGCTGGCGTGTGTGAGGAGTTTCTCGAATGATCGTGAATTTCCTAATTTATTCCAGGCTCCCTCTTTTTGGTATATAAGCCCGGCAAATAAAGCCAGCAAAAAAAGATAGAACTGCATAGGCAGATAGATTGAAGATAAGAGATAATCAAGTCAAGCGAACAGTAGCCACCGTAAGTAAAGTGTGTGAATCGCTATGAATTATAGCGTGTTTATAAAAGTAGTTAAGTTTAAAGTGACTGTGAAAATCAAGTGTATTACAAAGTTTGTAACGAGAAAGAATAAACTAGTTTTAATCAAGAAGGGACTTGTATCACTGAAGTCACTCGGAAAGAATTTTTACCGGAAATTACCAAACAAGCAGATCCGCAACAATACCATTTAGCATGGCTCAAAGTGGGTTTCATAAGTAAAAAAACAGGGCGAAGATGGCACATGTTCAAACTTCTTTCTAAAAGCTATATGTTTATTGTGAAATTATTTTAGGCCACTTCTTTCTCTTTCATTCTCTATGGGCTACATCCCCTGTACATAAATCAATACCATTTAGGTCGGCCCACGGTGGGTTTAATAGGTAAAAAAGAGGGCAAAGATGGCACATATACCAACTTCCTTCTAAAAGCTATACAGTTATTGTGAAATTTAAAGGGTTAAATTATTTTTGGCTACTTCTTTTTGTGCACATTCTTTTAGGGCCACATCCCCTGTACTTAAATCATTACCATTTTGTCAGGCTCATTGTGAGTTTAATAGGTAAAAAAAGAGAGGGCAAAATGGCACATATACCAACCTCCTTCTAAAAGCTATATACTTATTGGGAAATTTAAAGGATTAAATTATTTTAGGCCACTTCTTTCTTTGCACATTCTCGAAGGGGTCATCACATGCACAAAGATCAATACCATTTAGCCTGGACCAAAGTTTGTTTCATAGATAGAAAACAGGGCAAAGATGGCACATGTTCAAACTTCTTTCTAAAAGCTATATATTTATTGTGAAATTTAAGAGGTGAAATTTTAGACCACTTCTTTCTATGCACATTCTTTAAGGGCCAATCTCCTGTACATAAATCGATACTATTTAGCCTGGTCCAAAATTGGTTTCATAAGTAAAATAAGAAGGCAAAGATGGTATATATACCTACTTCTTTCTAAAAGCTATATACTTATTGTGAAATTTATGGTGTTAAGTTATTTTGGGCCATTTTTTTCTCTGCATATTCTTGAAGTTTGACATTTTTTGCATGAGAATCAATACCATAAAGCCTGACCCAGTGTGGATCTGTACAATAGAGGGTATACTTTACACATATGCCAACTATTTTTTCACTTGAATTATTACTGTGGGACTTAAACTCATTTAAATTTACTGCTTTTACAAAGGCCAACCACGTTGTTAGAAATATAAAACTGTCTTAGCTGAAGATGACTCCTACCTTGCCAAAATTTACATTTGTGTCCCGTAATGCTATCATTCTCATCATTAAGTATGAAAAAAGATGATGCATCAACACTATCAATTCCCTTAATAATCTTAAATACCTCCATCAGATCCCTTCTAGCTCTTCTTTTTCTCAAAAGAAAACAATTTCAAAGATCTTAACCTCTCCTCATAATGTCAAGCCCTCCATCCCAAGCACCATTGTAGTAGCCCTCCTCTGAACCCTTTCCAACAATTCAATGTCCTTCCTAAGGCAAGGAGCCCAAGATTGAACACAATATTCCAAATGTGGTCTAACCAGTGACTTGTACAATGAAATTACAATCTCTTTAGAATTGTATTCAATATTTCTGTTGATATCACCTAAAATCCTTTTTGGCTCTACCACTAGCAACAGCACACTGTTTGGATGGCTTAAGAGACTGATCAACCACTACACCAAAATCCCTTTCTTTCATAACACTGTTAAGGTTATTCCCATCCAAACTAGATATTTAAAATTCAAAATATTAAAACCCATCTGCCATTTATCCACCCAACTCACTAAATGATCTAAATCCTTTTGTAAAGCAGCAGCATCCTCCTCACAGCCAGCAAATTTAAGTAATTTATTGACCATTCCTTCACCTTTGTCACTGATGTAAATAAAAAAGAGCAAAGGTCTTAATACTGAGCCCTTGAGGTATCCCACTTGTGATATTAATCCAGTTTGACTGAACTACATTTATAACAACCCTCTGCTTCCTTCCATCCAGCCACTCTTTTATATAATGAGCTAACTTATCCCCACACCTATATAGTTAAATTCTTTTACAAGCCTTTATGTGGCACCTTGTCAGATGCATTCAGAAAATCTAGATACACCAAATCTACACCCTTATCCTCATCTATATAAACAGTAACCTTTCAAAGAATGTCAAAAGATTTCTAAGGCAAAATTTTCCTAGTGAAACCATGTTGACTATCCAATGAAATTCTCAACTTTGTAAATGACTTTGCAAAGCATCTTTTTCAGACTTTCAAAACTTTCCCACAACTAATGTAATATTAATAAGTCTATACTTACTAAGATAATTTTATCACTTACCTTGAAAAAAGGAATAACGTTAGCCAACTTCCAATCCTCTAGCACCTAACCATTATTTAAGGTCTTACAAAAATAGTAACAAGTGGCTCACATATTCAATCCATAACCTACTTTAAAACACTTGGGGAAGTATTATAATATTGGGACAATTTTTATCACTTACTTTGAAAAAAGGAGTAACATTAGCCAACTTCCAATCCTTTGGCCCATGCCCACTATTCAAAGACGAGCAAAAAAAATAGTAGTTAATTGCTTATACATCTAATCCTTAACCTCCTTTAAAACCCTTGGGGAAATATTATATGGCTTAGGAGCATCATCATTTTTTAAACTTCCCAATTTTTTCTTAAGATGCTCATAATTAATGTGATCATCTTGTTTCCATCTATCAAATGTTCAAGATGAGGAATACTGCTTAAATTTTCATAAGTAAAAATTAGCAGATTTTAATAACATAACCATCAGATACAAGTCTTCCTTTATCATCCCTCAAACTTCTTACCCCATCCTAACATTTTGTATATCCTTAATGTATTTAAAGAAATTATTACTGTTAATTTTTACATTTTCAACTAACCTTTTCTCATACATCTTTTTGATGTCCTAATTCCTTGTTTTACCAACTTTCTTGATCTTCTAAATCTCCTGTCACACCAGTTAATTTAAATTTCTTAAACTTTTTGTGTTTTTCTTTAATCTTATCTCTTATACTCTTTGTAAGCCAACCTGGTTTTTTACTTGCAGCCACTCTTTTCTTTCTATAAGGAATATGCTAAACTTTTCTCTGCATCATAAATATTTTGCACTTTATTTATTCTGGCTCTCACCACTGTCTAGTCCTAGTTCAAAACTTCCCTTGCAGCTGAGTTAATAGCTCTTTCAAACCATCCATTTTGAAAAGCTCCCTCCTCCCATTAAACTAATTCCACAAGTTGAACCAGCCAATCTGCTCATCCTTACATATTACCTTAAGCCTAGTGTTCTGTCCTAGTGACTTACTTATAATTTCCTCCCCACAATTACTTCTATTATAAATTTTTTATGTATTATTAAAGAATCACATTTTCATCTTTACATACATTTGCTTAAAGTTTCATTTTATGTATTGCATTGTCATTTCTATGTTAACAGGGTTTTTAATGTTAATAATGTACAGAAGTCAGTTTCACCTGAGAATACCACACCAGCAACTTCTGAATTAATATCCATAGCTATGGAATGTAAGCTTAAAACCACTTAATTTTCTGACAAACATGAGCTTTGAGAAAAAAAAAAACATTTTGGGTAATAATTACTCATAGTGAAAAATAATGAAACTTTGCCATAAGAATCATTGGCATATAAACAAGTACATGAAAAAATATTTGTAAAACTTTTTATTGATAAATACACAAATAAATTTGTAGTATTATTATCAGCTGCAAGCTTTTAATAATCATAAACAGTTGAAACTGTCATATTACAATATCTGTAATGATATTACATGATTAATATAATAGAAGTCAACAATAACCAAGTAAAAAATTTAGAAGAGCTGTGACCATATACCTGTATATGTATTAATGTTATATTTTTATTTTTGACACAAATAGCTTGTTTAATGTTTCTACAAATTACATTGTTTTCTTTGTTAATGACTTCAACATCTGAAAAATCAAAAAAGTGGTTATGTTTAATCATTTGTTCAAGTAGGTGAGAGGAAAAATTCAAATGTTCTTTCCATCTTGTTAAAAGCTATGATTTAGTCTATTCCATGTAAGAACTATCACAGTTTTTGCATTTAATTAGATACACTGATCCTGATGCATCATTGTTAACAAAGTTTCTTTACAGAAGCTGCCTTGATCTCTTCCCTGACAGGAAAGAAAATTTCATAATTAAATTCATATATCTTTTGACAGTTTTTCACCACATTTTCTAAATAGAATGTGAAAGTTTAGGGATGTGCAGCAACACAAAATAAAGGATACGGTTTTCTTAATTTAAAATTTTTGCCTCTTTGACCTGCAATACACTTTCTAGGGTCAATAGTTTTAGTTACCACTTTGTGAAGATATTTACCTGTTGAGACTTTTAAACATTTTTCTTAGATAGAAATGACTGTTGATAGGAAAACATATTTTTACCTGTATGGGAGGGTTCTTATGTTCATCTCTATTTATTGTTTAGGATTATGGAAGGAATTCCAGTGAAGATAAACTCCTAAGTGTGTACTGTATTCCTATGAAATATAGTGGTGTGAGATTCATTGTCTCTTTCTTCCAATAAAATATTTAAAAATAAAAACTTACCATCAACTTCATTTTTGACTTCAAAACTTAGTGTTAGGATCAATTACATTCAAGTTTAAAAGAAAAGTTTCTAGAAAATTGATGGATGGAGGCAAGAGAAGATATAAATTTCTTTCATCTTACTCATGAATATATTCACTAAAACAGGTTAAACTGGATTTCCCTTACTTAGACTTTCCATTGATCATAATTAACAGTTTGGATGAGATGCTGAATAATGGTATTTGACTGATACTCTTATAGTGAACTCGCATCCTCAAAGTAGAAAGCAAGAATTTGTCATAACAAGTTTATGTACCATGAATCTTCAAATTCACAATCCAGGCACAATAATCACAGACCATACCAAACCCCATAGGATATGGGAATAATGAAGTATAAAACCTATTAGATGCACACACAACCAAGCATTCACTTTCTTTTAACATTTTTAATTGCTGTGAATTGAATATTTTAATTTTAGTTTGTAAACATGACAAAGGTAAGTTATGAAGTAATTGCTATGTGATGATCTTAGGGGTCAGAATTTATCAAAGTATGCTTCATATCAGTAAGAAAATAATAATCTCAGTCAAAAAAATATAAGTAGTAACATAATATCTGTAAAGTTTATGATAAATATTTTATTGTAATATTATATGAAAATATACATATGCATTAGTAATATTCTTGTTTCCATAAATCATTAACTGAATATCAAGACACACAACAGATAAATAAAATGTCTTTGATATCTTTTTAAAAAAATATATTATATACCAAACAACATTTTATTATAATCCTTTATCATGTGTGTACACTTAACAAGAGTTATATAATATAAAATGGATATACATCAGTAAGCTTGATGTGGTACATATATATGGCTTCATGCACTTTTGTTATATCAAATGATTAAAAAAAAAACTATTTGTTATATTTAATAGTAATAGAATTATCTAAGCAATAGAGTATTAATGTATCTACAGAGATTTCAGGATAATTAAATACTTACATTCCTAAGGCCACTAAGCAAAATAGGTATAGCAATTTACTTTACGATGTTGCTATAAGACTTTCAAAAACAGTTTTTAACATAAGGTCTGCCTACTGATAGTTTAGCTTTTAAGTAATTTTTTAATACTCTTAATACATAATCAAAACCTATAGTTTTTTTCTATCTTTCCTTCTTCCAGTGAATTTGTATGAGAAAGAATACCTTACAAATAGTAACAATGTCTGAGTATTTTTATCTTCACAGGAAATCGCCATATTAATACATATTTGCATTAATTTCACTCACAATTATTTTTCATTAGAATTTTGAGTTATTCAAACAAAAACAATAGAGCTAATTTCTATAAAACAAAACTGTTTCACCTTAAGATTATATGCTTCCTTGTCTATAGTTCATGTAGGTCACCACAAACACATTACATAAACCATGTGTGCCAACATCTCTGGAGTTAACTCAGAAACTTTCAAAATTTTTATAAAAATGCTATACTTGGTCCATTCTATGAATTTCATATAGTTTATGTGATCATGTGATTGACTTCAGCTACAACATTCAGGGTTGTACATTTAAAAGCTCCATTATCTATAACAGTTGGAGGCAATTCTTTTATATTATTATCCTTAAGAATTCTCCGCAAGGTCTCCACTTCCTCTTCCAAAGCAGCTATGTAGTCCCTACTCCTGGCTAGTTCCTGTTCCAGATTTTCTCTCTTCTTCTGTTCCTTAGCTAATTTGTGATCTGCTTGGGTCTTTACAGAAAGCACAATACCTGTGTTGGAAAATCACACTACATATTAACCAGTCTGTCAACATAATTCATGAAAATAAGTGAACTAAGGTAGCAAACTCACTGTACTGAACAAAACTTTTTTTTTTTCAGTTATATGCTCTGGTGGTAAAGAGAAGTGAATGTCACAGTTGCAGGCAGTAAAGACTGAAATACATGAAGTAATATAAATAAAAATCAAGGACTAAATGAAAAGGACAGAAATCTCAACAGGACTGTATTTAAATAAAAAATGTATAAAAATATTATAAAAGTAAGCAAACAAAACTATAAAATTATTATGTTCATTTTTATGTTAAACAGGATCAGATTATAAGAATTCAAAACCTAATTTATCTGAACCAAATAAGTAATTTATTTCTATAACAACAAACTTTAACCTACCAATTTTTATTTCTAGGATTACAACCCTTAGCAACTCACCAAGATTACTTGAAAGCATACATGCCCACACATTATTGTAAAGTTCCTTTTGATCAAGTTCAGAAACCAAACACTTCTCAAATAACTAAACTTATCTTTTAAATGGTGTAAGTTTACTTGCATGTTTGTCGCTGTATAGACTGATGGATGGGTAAATCAAAGAAATCCCATATAGCACTGGTGAAAGCACAGTTGGTCTAACTTAAGTTAAGCCTATTTTATACTCAATTATATGCTCCAGCTTTTTCATGGATACTTCATATAGAAGTTCATTAATATTTGTTGTGTAAAAACCTGACAACATCTTTTTTTTTATTTACTATAAAATATTCAATCATTTATTAATCTCTGATAATCCTGTTAGTACAGGCAGGATACTATGTACATCATGCATATAATAATTGTTGTTCAAGTATAACTGAATTATGTAAAAAGTTTACATTCTGCTCTGCATAATGCATTTTCTTTATTAACAGAAACTTCTGCATTCTTTGATATCCAGTTCTTCTGAGAGTAATACAATTAATGAACTGAGAATTATTTCATTTCAAAAATTGCATCACAAGAAAAAAATTATTTAATAAAATGCTACTACATCTAACATACGTACAGAAACGCTTCACTTCAACAAAAACTTTCTGTATCAATACTACCAATGTTTCCAAATAATTTGATGAATATATAAGGGATATGCAGAAAGAAAGGGTATTTTATTTACTGTAGGCTAACAATATCAAGTTAAAACCAAAAAGAGTGTAATCCTGTTGAGTATATGCACAATCAAATGGCACATCTAAATACAATTCTCATTAAATGCATTTCTTCCATAATTCTATAAGTTTGTCAAAGTTTGGGTGTGGTGTTCAGACTGCAATACATCAATCACCTAAAAGTTCTGTCCATATAGACTTGAGGGAGTATAAGGAATTGGAGTCACAAGGTCTGACTAGGTCATAAATATTTGTAAAATGTAGAAGAAATGACCATTCAATTTTCTTTATTTAAACAAAATGTAATAAGGGAATGTGGCAGAATCACATTGTTGGAGGAAAACATTTTCTACTTTGATGCCAGAATGCACTGATAGTGGCAATGGATGGAAGACAGCTAATAAACACAATACCCTGGCTGTCCCTCTTTCATTAGGAACTTGATTACAGCACATTATTCAAAACCATCTCATTTGCAGTTGAAATTTGGCAACTGTGTCATAGCCACATATTCTCTAAACACATAAGATGCTCTACCAAAGATCTTGATAACTAATATGATGACTTACTGTTTACTCATATTCAACGTAGGAAAAAAATTCAGTTTCTTTCTGATCACCCCTTGTATATGTAGTAATATACTAATCTTGTTGTTGAGATAAACTTTATAAGATTAAGACTGTTCAAATGTACAATAACATTATAATGGTTATGAGAAGAATTTATCAAATTTTTCTTTGATAAATCTGAATACTTATGTATCAACCAATTCATGAATTTAAGTTCATATAATAGTCTGTCTGCTGATTTTTCAATGAAGTTTTAACTCCTTTCACTTTTTATCAAGCAATAACTCTATATGATATCAAACTTTACACTAAGTCAAATGTAAAAATATTGTATCAGTGACATTAGATGATTTAACTGGTATGTATAAAAAATGATTATTCTGATTAGTGATCCACTATCATTTGCAAAAATTCACGTAACAATACAAGATTCTTTGTTGAATTTTCATAATTATTTTGTGAAAGAACATTTAATTTCAGCATGAAAATGGTGAATATATCACTATTTAAATAATATTTATTGTCATGCAAAATAATAATTGTTATAGCATTTTGGCACTTGTGTATAAAGTTAAAATCATAAATAATATTCAATGTTAAACTGGTACACAATTGTGTACCAGTTTAATGTTGAATATTATTTATGATTTTAACTTTATACACAAG